GGAACCTTCCTTCTGCCTCCTCACATTGGGACCTGCAGCTCTTGGGCTGATTCAGTATCTTTCGTCTTGGGACCTCTCTCGACCACCTTCCTGTCGTTCCCTCCTGAACCACAAGTTTTCCTTCTCTTTGGAGCATATCCTCTGGTAACCTCCTGAGAAAGAGGGCATGAGATGTGAATTCTTTTTGAGTCCTTGTAAGAATTAGTATGTTCTTATTCTACCATCATTCCTGATTCATATTTCGCTGGGTATATAATTATTAGTTGAAAATATTTCTCCAGGATTTTTGAAGGCTGCCATTCTCTTTTATCTATGATGCTATATTCAGTGGCTTTCTGTTTCCTGTTTCTTAGAAAGTGATCTTTTTTCCTTCTCAGAATGTGCTTAGCACCTCTATTCCCATGGAAATGACTGTTTTTCATTGCTTTGGGTCTTTTGTCATTAATTGTGCTGAGTACTTGGTGAGTTCTTTTGATCTGAAGACTCATGCTCTTCAATTCTAGGAAATGTTCTTGTATTCTTCCTTTATTAATTTTCTCCCTGCATTTTCCTTGCCCTTTCTTTTTGGAACTCCCATGGATAGGATGTTATACCTCCTATATTTTATCTTCTAATGTTCTCCTCTTTCCTATTTTTCCATTTCTTTATTGTTTATTTTTTCTGGGAATGTTCTATGTCTTCATCTTTTATTTCTTCTATTTTTTTTCACTTTGGCTATCATATATAATTTTCGAGAGCTATATTTATTCTCCTCCAGTTCTTCTTTTAATAGCATGCTGCTCATAGTTAATGGATGTAAAATCCTGTCACATTTCCTTGACGATATCATAGTAGTTTTTTGGATGTTTTGAGTCCTGCATTATTCAGGCTTGTTTTGCATGGGGATAGTCAGAGAGCTGGGCAGTGCTAAAGACTGATGCCAGAGAGGCTCTGCAGGAAAAGCCTTCCAGAAAAAGCAAGCTGAACCATAGCAGCACAGAGGAGAAAACCAGCCTGGTGTGTTCAAGGAACAGAAAGATGGCCCCTGAGGCTGGAATTTGGTGGAAGGGGAGAGTGGTAGGAAACAGGAACGTAGCAGTAGCCAGCAGCGGTTCACAGAAGGCCTGTGATACAATGAGTTTGAATATTTTTCCCCAAGAGTTGGGGGCTTCTACCTGCCGTCAAAGATCAGTTCAACAGCCCTCCTGTATTCGAGGTCATCCCCAAATGCTCCTCCCCATCCACAGATTCTTGCTTTTCTACCCATAAAGATTCCAGATACAGCAAAGACAGATTTTTTTAAATGATTAAAATAATTTGTTTATAGGCCTGCCTCTGCATCCTGGAGCGAAATGACACAACTTCGGAAAACTCCTTGGCAATTTCTATTAAAATGACTTACAGATACCCTGTGCCCATGCATACATACACATGTGCATCAAAATACATGTATAAGACTATAGCAGCCCCAAATTGAAGATATCCAAATGCCCAATAACAATAGATAGAATTAATCATGGTATAGGGCTTGTCAATGGCCAAACCTGGCCCACTGTCTATTTTGTAAATAAAGTTTTATTGGAAGACAGCTGAGCTCATTCATTTACACATTGTCTATGACTGTTTTTGCACTGTAATGGCGGAGTTTAGTTGCAACAAAGACCGAAATTTAGGCCCTCAAAGCCTAAAATATTTACTATCTGGCCATTTACAGGAAAAGTTTGCTACATGCCCAACATTAATGTAGCTCACAAAACAAACGCAGGGTGAAAGAAGAGTACTTAAATGAAATTCAGAGACAATTAAAATTAATCTATGGTGTTAGCAGTCAGAATAGCGGATATCTTTGGAGTAAGATACTGATTTTACGGGGCACATAGAGGGCTTCCAAGGAGATGATAATGTTCCATTTTTGATGTGAATGCTGAGTTAAATTTGAAAGCTCCTTGTGCTATACACTGCACATGATTGGTGAAGTTTTCAGTGTTATTTTTAAGTTTACTTTGAAAACTCATTTGTTAAAATGGGACAATAAAATCTCTTCTGCAGTTTAAAAAATGGGAGAAGAGAAATGGCATAAAAGGACTATAATTAAATATCAAGCATTCAGGTTTCCCAGAAGTATTTTCTTCCTGCGATATGATTTTTCTTTCTTTCTTATATTTAGGGTATTAGGTATATAAATCTACAAGAAAGAAAAAAATTAACATTGGAGAAAGCTAGGTAATTCTTTAGGCTATCGAAATAATCAGAAATAAATTAACAGCCTGAAGCACTTATATTGTAATATAAAAGAGTATTGCAGCTTCCATGTAGCCCACTCTGGCTGGCCATTGCCTTTTAATAACTGTGGTGTTTTATTTCAGCTACACTTTCCTTTTCGTTGTTGAGGGTACACACCTACTTCCTGTGTTCCTGGGGACAAGGGTGGAGGATCCGGGTACCTGTGCAGAATCCTTTGGCTGCCCTGTGTTTCACTGAGAAGGGGCTAGGGATTGGGTGGGTGCAGGTGGAGGGGGTGGTAGTGGTCCCAGTTGTTGAAGGTGGGACTGTTTGCACTTCTCAGAAAGCTCTTTTGCCTTCTGGCAAGATTCCCAGAACCTGCCTACGATTCCAGTGGAGGCCTCTGTTGTCTCAGGTAGGCTTTGCTTTTCCCTCCCTGTCTTGGGGTCTTCAGTGCCCCTGGGAAGCAGACCTTGTGGTCATTGTCAGTCTAGGGCTATCCCAGTCCGGCTTCTGAAACACACTCGCTCCACCTGCCCTTCTGGGATCCGAGTTCCACGTGTGGCTCACCTGTGGTCACCTTTGCAGTCCCCAGGCCTTGCCTAGGTCCATGTTTCCACCTTTCCTGAAAAGCAGTGGGGACAAGCAGGAGCCCCTGGGGTGTGAGACCAGGGCAACACCCTGTAGGCCGAGGACACACGGGTAGTCTAATTTCAGCTGACTCATGTACTTGGGGACTCAGGTAACTTCTTGTGCCCCAATGGTCCCATGCCCCCACGTTACATCCTCGCCACCATGTGACTCCTCCCGTCCACACCATCCAACCCGAGAAATGACCCAAAGAGGCCTCGACTGTTCACCCCTCACCACAAAGCTGGGCTTCCACTGGGAACCCACCCAGAGCTCTGTTCCAAGGGTTCCTGAGAACAGGATGGTTACAGTCTGGCCCTGGGTCCGGCCGCAGCCTCCTGGCCCACCCCAGACACCCCACCTGTGTCTCCCCCATCCCAAAGCCTGACATCCGGGAGTCCCAGCCTACCTCGGGACTGCGCACGCGCGTGGCGCTGACGTCACAGAGGCCGCCCGCCTCGTTGCCTAGAGACCGTGCGCCTGCGGCCTGGCCAGGCGGAGCCAGCTGTGGCCTTTGTCCCGCTGGGGTCTGGAACTGTTGGAGGGGAAGGTCCTTGGATCCTAGGCATGGAGGAGGGCTGGCCAGGCGCCAGAAACCTCGTCGGGAGCCGCGTGGGCACACCGCGGGACCCTTTGCCGCCTCACGCCTGCCTCAGGGATGTGTCTGTGAGTCTCCCCGAAAGTTCTGCCCCGTGACCCGGAGGGCTGGACTGTGCGTGGCTGCTGTGTTCCCAGAGGGGCGTCCTGCCAGGGGCAGAACCCCGCAGTCTCAGGAACTGCCTGTGTGCTGGTTCTGTGCGAGTGTCGCGCGCGCGTGTGTGGTGGGGGAATGTCTGGTGGGGGGAATGTGTCGTGCACCCGAGGGGCGTCCTCAGCCTCAGGAACTGCCTTGCGTGCTGATTCTGGGCGAGCGTGTGTGTGGCGGGGTGGGGGGATGTCTGGTGGGGAGAATGCGTCTTGTGCAACCGAGCTGAGCTTCTTTCACGTCAGCTCGCCCTCAGATGAGCCCTTCCCTATGTTTCTTTTTGGGCTGTGTGCACAAAAAGTTAAATGTTAGCCAGGCGTGGTGGTGCACACCTACAGTCCCAGCTACGAGGAAGGCTGAGGCAGGAGGATCGCTTGGGCCCAGGAGTTCAAGGTTGCAGTGAGCTATGATCATGCCACTGCACTCCAGCCTGGGCCACACAAGAGACCTTGTCTCTAAAATACACACACACACGTGTATATATATTTGTAATAAACTCATATTATTACATTGATAAACACTTCAAAATGAGCTAATTGATATTTTTGAGATCAAATGTCTATTATTTAAACCACTTTCTTGATTTTAATATATTTGTAAAAAGGATCTTATTTAGAAAAAATTTCTAAGACTTTATGCAAAGTCAGTGAACTTCTTAGCTCTTTCTTTCTTACACAGCCCCTAGAAACAAATGGTTTTGATGTTTGCCTGATATATTATTTCATGAACAGCAAAAAAGAGGTAAACCTCATAGCTAACGTTGGCCAGCACTAACCATGTGCGGACGAGGCACTTACTCTTCTCAGCACTTCATGTGGAGTAACATTTAATCCTTACAACATCTGTGAGGGAAGAGCTATTACCTTCATTTTCCAGACAAAGAGGTTAAGGCAAAGGGAAGTTAAACTGCCCACAGTTGCATAGCAAGTAAAGGGCGGGGCAGAGCCAGGGCATGAAGCCCATGGTTCCAAAGCCCCGGTAAAAAAACCAGTGGGTGGCCCTGGCACAGCAGCAGGGCCCCTCTGTAGCCTGACAGAGAGGAAGCTCCTCTGCCCGGCTCACCTTTGCCCTCTACTTCCTGTCCTGGGTTTTTCTACAGGTCCCCAGCACTACTCCTTCAAGGGACTGTCAGTGGGGGAGAGGACAGGCTCAGGTTCATTTACATAAAGACTTTTGGTATTAAAACTTCTCAAAAGACAAGAGTCTAATATTATGTTGATATGTAATATTTACCAAAGCCTAATGATGGAAAATAAAATCTTGAGATCATGGAAGGCATGTGCCTTAAGTATCTACATCAATGAAATTCATTACTCAATTCAATTGTGTTGGATTTTTTCCCCTTGCTATATGATTGAGAAAAGTAGAAGAAAAATGCACCCCTGTTCAGAGACTCGGAGGAATTAAAATAAATTTTCAAAAATTTCAAATTTTAGGATGATTTTTATTTACAAAACAGGTTGATTCTTTTTGTTTTACAAAAATTACAAAAAAAATGACTCTTAAAAATAGAACAGCTTCTCAGACTCTTGGGAACTACTTTTAAGCAACCAAGGAGTTAGAACTCAGATGGTCTTCTTCTTTTTAAGAGTTGTAACAGCAACATGTATCAGTGCTGTGTGTCTTCATCCAAAATTTTACAGCTACGAGCTGTCTCTGGTGGCAAGGTCTCCAGTCAGGTCAGAGTCTGAAGGAGCAAGATCTTCTCATTAATGCAGAACCTGTGCAGTACCACCATCAAATTCTCACCACAGCGGGAGACCTGGCGTTCCATGGCCAGGCGGAAGTCCTCCTTCACGCCTTTGGTGATGCCTCGAGTTACCGTGTGGTGCCTGAGGTCAGTGACAGGGAAACAGATGAAGACCAGGGATTAGCATCAGCATCACTGATCACTGCTACTTGGTAGGAATAAAGCCTGCCTCTTATCTAAATATAAACAAGTAAAACACGTTTTTAAAAGAAAAAAAGAAAAGCTGCAACCAAATAAACATTCCAGCCCATTCCTTCTTAGAAAGACTTAAAACTAGAGAGATATTTTCCCCACTCTAGAAAAGGTTATTTCGAGCATTTACGTGTTGTGTAAAATGCCACCTGCTTTGCTTTTGAATTCCTGAAGCTCTGATGTTATGCATCCCTACTGCTGACTGGGAACGATTCGGTTACTTAGGGCCTAATGGGTCCAGTCCACACTGGCCACAAAGCACTTGTGTCCATCTGGGCGGCGGACTCTCCAGAGGCAACAGCAGGGAGGAGGGAAACCAGAAAGAGCCAATCACCCAAGTGAGTTCCCTGACAAGCTCAGAAAGGTTTGCGTTCTACACAGCTGCGGGGCTTGTGAACTCCTCTCTCTCCCAGGACGCCAGAACAGGGCAGCTCCTCTAAAGTGCTGCGCCATCCATACTCTCATCTGTTTGAGAAAACGCAGGGAGGGTTGGGGGTTCCTGAGACAAGAATCTGGCCCAGGTCAGGAGAGAGAGGCAGAATCCCCAGAGACCACATCTGTCCAGATGCTCAGAGGACACCTGCACACATATGGAAGTGTCAGTTGGGCACAAGCAAAATGTCTCTAATTATGCCCCAAAGATTGTGCTTTAGAAGAGGAAATTACAAACGAAATCCTGGAAAACTGAAGACAACAAAATAAAGAAAGGAAAAGAAAAATCTATCAAAACCACTCAGCTTGTTTAGAGGAAAGGAGTTGTAACTACTAGTTCAGCAATTTGGTAGATTTCAACAAATAGAACCTCATTCCCCACCTTACTGCCTAACTTCCCTCAGACAAAGTAACAAGGACTTAAACTTGATTTTTAAGTATTGGGCAAAATAAAACTGTTGAAAGCACTCTAAAATGTGTTTTTTTTAAAACTTATACGATCATATAAAATAAGAACAATAGGAGTCATAATGTTGCAGTGCAATAGAAGAAAAAAATCAGGCTTTCTTAGACAAGTAAAGCTATTACAGAACACTCTACAATGCCCAGAGATGTTTTCTGACAGAAAGAACTATGCCAGAAAACAGCAGGGCCATAGAGAAAATGCAGTTCTTTGTGAACATTTCTAGTCAAGTCTGGGTCGGTAGCTCAGTGATCAGGATACAGTGTCAATGAGGTCAAGGCTGAGTCCCACTGGGAACAGATGCAGGCAATTTTATGCTGCCCTGAGACACTGCTCTCCTAAGTTCCAGGCTGCAACCCCAAATTGGAGTTGACCCTCTGAGCAAGTGGAAGTTACTGGCATTTGCAGAGTCAGCTAAAGGGCTTAATACTACTAAAAATATAAGTAAATGTTACATCTTGCTGATCATAGTCCAATCCTATTGTTTCTATAAATAAAGAGAGGCACTACTCAATTATATTGATATTAGAGCCTCTATCATCCCTCTGGTAGTTTAAATGAAGAAGAGAATTAGTCAGCTTTTATGGTTTAAGAACAAGAAAAACCGGCTAAGAAATGTGGCATTCTAGCCTATTGAATATTTTCAGTTCAGAATGGTAAGGTCTGAAAAAACAGCATCAGTGGCAGGAAAAGCCGTGCTAATGCTATTTAGACCCCAAACAGCACTGGTCATTAGTATGAAAATCCAGAAATAAAAATCGACTTAAACTTCAGCACCCTTAAATATTTATGACCAAAAGCCTTAAATTTTATCAAAAGAGAATCATACTTTAGCACCTAATCGAATGTGTACTTAATCTAATACAATTTTATAAAACTTTAATTTTTTCCAGATCCATAATGATTTTTAAATCGAACACAAACACACTGGCAACTTATGGAAAAAAATAAGAAATGTTACAATATTACAACCAGATGGTTTGCCAAGGAATGCAGAACAAATTAAAAAAATAAATAAAGCATGAAAAAGAGCACTGAGGAACAAAGAGCAGAAAACCATGGGCAGTAAACATGTTGACAAACAGCACACTATGAGCAGGTGTTTGTTCCACTTGGTACCTGTCAGCAGTCTGTATGCTGGGCTGAAGCACAGGTAAGAATTCCTGCTGCAGCAACCCCATGGGAGGGCTAGAAGGCCTTTAAAAAACAGCAAACAGCAGCATTCAAACACCCACACCGACTCACCCTGCACTGCAAAAACAACACTCCAGAGAAAATACACAAGACTGGAAGCAGACTGTACAGAAACTCGGTAACCTCAACAAGCCCCTGGCTGCAGCTGTGTGTTTTAGGAGCTTAGGGAGAAGCTAGCAAGCCCTCACTGCACCCGCTGCCGGTGCATGTCCAGAGGCATCTCGGTTCCTGGTCCCAGAGCTCAGCCCACTTGAGATTTGGTATAAAAAGCAACCAGTGAGGAAGAGGACAATGGAATGCAGTTGAATGGCAGTGGGGAGCAGCGTCAACATTTGAGAAGACACATTTTCAAAGCCAGCCTCTTCCCACTCTTGTACCCACGCCAATCCCAGCAGTCAACGTGGTGACGTTTGGTAACCATCTTTTACAGGATTGAAGCCCCGACCTGGAGGGGCCCTTCCAAGAGGACTAGAAGGGCTGGCAATGTTTTTGATAAAGAAAGGGTGAGTTTGAATTTCAAAAAAGTATTGAGAAAAGGAACAGATGTGGGGAAAAAAAGAGTCTGGAACCCATGGTTTTGCAGAATTCTGTAACAACAAGAATTTAGTGTATAGCTGGTGATCACCTCATAGAACATCATTATCCACCCTATTCAGAGCATACATAGGACATCGTTTTCCATTTTAATCCAGTCTAATGCAACCAAAGTACTGCAAGCATCAGCATAGAAATATTTCTCTATTTTAAAATACTTAAGAGCAAAAGTTCTACATAACAAATTAAGAGCTTATCCCTCCTTTGGGTCAGGCATCAGGTGCCCTCAGTGTTTGTACTGTACCTGCTTGTATCCGAGATGCCACAACTATGGCAGACTCACAACCTTACCTAGGGGAGGAGTGTACACTGCTCACAACATCTCTGCCACTCATCTGGAGGAACCACCCAAAAGGTCTGCAATGGCTTCAGAGAAATTGTATGGAACCCAAAGGGAAAAGGAATATAGATAGTTTTATTCAAGATTCTAATCATACCTCAATTAGTAAGAGCTCTCTGTCTTATGCAGTTTGCTTCTACTGCTGTAGTTTTAGGCATAAGTAATTTGAGACTCACACGGTGAAGACTGGGCAAATTGCTACAAGTTCAGATCACTAGGTAACAATCCCTATTCCTGCTGCAAAACTGATGAAACTGCAGGTTTCCTAAGAGGCTTGTCCTCTACAGGAAGTTAGAAGAAATTAAGGGTTATATTGATCAAGGTGGGAGAGCCTGAAATTATCCCTCAAAAGCCCAGAAACGCATGATGGTATCCTTTACGCAAATAACCCAAAAAAAACCCCTTCCAGTGATATTATCTGGGTATCTAGTGCACCCTTGCTTTAATCCTGCATCCTAGGGATTATCTGCATGTCTCATGTCACTGTCAGCTCAGTAAAAACTAGTAAAAGAAGAAAAGTTTAGTATAATGAAGTCTGAGGTTCAACTGTTGATTTTTTGACAATCCGTTCTCTCACCCTTCCACAAGCAGTTAAGCATTATCTAAGTAAAACCATCTATAGGTTTAATCCTATGTACACAGACTTTGGTTCTACTAAGCCCATCTCTATATTATGATAATTAGCCTGGTGATTGCTGATGGGAATTAACTAAAAAGTTTTACTAAAGGTATGTTTGTATATCCAGTTTTAAAACCTAGAAAAGAAATCACAACACAAAAGGGGTTACCTGGACTCCCATATCAAAAACTGTTATGCTCAAACACTGTTAAGAATATTTTGAATCATGCAGTTATCCTTTCCAGTTTCGATTCACAATCTTAGGAAAGTTGGAGATGGGGCATGCCAGTCCATTTTGTCTAAGCAACCTGATGTATAAAGGTCTTGCATATTTAAAAACAGAGCATTTTTTCTTTCATTTTAAATATTTAGAATATTTAGTAACATTTACCAGATAAAGGGGAAAAAACAATCTTTCCACTCTTGAGAATGGATTCTACAAGACACTGTTCTTGCTAGGACATAAAAAGAAATGTTTGCTATGTACCAAATTACTGAAGTTACAGAAATCCAGAAAGAGTATTTCTTACTTCCCTCCCTCAACATTTCTACGACTCTACAAAGATAGAACAAGATGTGAATGTTTTCAGCCTTAGCAGTACTTTCTTCTCATTCAGGGTTCAGTCCCTTGCAGTAACTAACTCTAACACTGACTTACAGACACACTGAATATGCAGGAAGCAGAGGAGGAAGTATGAAAATAAAACTACACGTGGCATTTACAGCAGAGAGGATATATTATCCAAACTACAATGAGGATTAAAGGATAGAAGCAAGATTCATGAGCTATTTAAAAATCATAAATGGTCACACTAACTTAGCATTTTTCATCTGGGCCAACCTGGAATTTGAATAACATCCTGTGGGTACAGGGGCCCATGCCTGAGACCAGGCACTCCCATCATTTCTTGGAGCAGGTGTGTTCTTGGAGGCACTAGACCCAGCTATTGTACTTCATGCTGTATAAGCAATGAGGATTGCATGGGAGGGCTTCAAATGTAGTTTATAGATCTGTAGTTTTTCCTAATCCAGTACAACTTTAATTAAGCATGGCTGCTCTTAATAAAAGCACTCTATGTCTAATCAAAATCAATGTGTAAATTTTGGAAAGGAAAAGATATGAATGAGACTTTGTCTAGTGAAAAAGTTTCAAAAGTGACAGAAATACCCCAATTTAAACAATGTTTTTTTCAGAAATGTAGTTAAGGAAATGCAAGTCTTTCAAAAGGTACCCAGAATCAAAAACTGACTCTCAAAAACAGAGACCAGGTTTGGGTTCCTATTAAATTTTTGAAAGGTTTATAGAAATTTACATGAAACAGAGCACTCAGCATGGCGGAACAAAGGATAGTATGCTTACTTGATCAGCATTCCTTGATTAGGCAGTAACTCCAGATGAATTTTCCCACCTTCCTGAGTTCTTAAGTAGGCAAATTCCTCCAGCATATCAATGTCTGCAGGCCAGATTCAGGTTAACCACGTGTAAAACAAGGGAAACAGGCTCTCAGCAGTTGAGTAACTTGCCCATCACCATCCCACTAACAACTGCAGAGTCAGTATTTGAACCCAGGTCTGTCTGATTCCAAAACTTACTATATCATCCAAACTGCTTCATACAGATAACTCGGCATAATATTTGCCAGGCTAAAGGACATGAGGACAATATGTTTTTCATATAGATGATAATTAAACAGATTTCATATAGTCACAAGAGCAAAATTTTTTTGTTTTCTTAGTAAGAAATGAAAGAGGTAATGGGAGTGGGGAGGATTGTTTTGGGTTGTAGAGTATGAAATTCATAAGGGTAAAGTGATTATTTCTTCATACCTAGGATGCAAGGATTTTTAGATACTTCTGGGGAGGAAGCTTCTGAGTCCCTCAAATTTTATGCAAAATGTTGATGACATTCATATATGCATTTTTCTGGTGAAAAGTTATATAACTGTCATCAGATTCTCAAAAGTTATCTGTCCCCAAAAAGATTAATAACTATCACTCTGGGCACTTGGACAATGATATCATATTCCCTACAATTTAAAAATAATGTATTAAGGTAAGCAATGAAGTAAAAACACCCAAACTGACATGTAACCTTCAATTCAAAGAGGGTCTTTCCCTAATAAACAGTGTGAAATAAAGCATTGCCTAACCTTGAAAGCAGCCACTGTATTGGGCAGCATCATTGGTGGGAACTCATTGGTAGCTATGACAGCTATGGAATGGTACCCTGACACCTAATCCCAGGGGACAGCTGATGTCCCAAGAGGCCATAGGAAGCACTCTTTTGATAGACAAAGGCGAAAGAACTATTTTTATTCCATGGCTAAACTAGCCATTCTGGACCTATCAGGACCCTGTAGGCTCTAACTGTAGGCATCTTGGGTACCTTCTTAGAAGTCAACTACAAGTGGCAATGGAGCAGGGTTGAGATATTCCTGATTCTTGAATTGTGTCTTTGAATCCTTTTACAATTTTCACGAGATGAGCTGCCAAACCCCATTTTTAATCCCCATTCCTTCTCTTTTTTCCCAAAATAGTAAAAACCGTTACTTCTACCCAGAATGCTTCATTCCTTGTTGCATAAGGCATTCATTCTAAAAAAACCGGAATTTGTTATGCTTAAACAAGAAAAAGGATACTTGTAACATAATTAAAAAAATTCTCATATTGGAAATTTCCTTGTTGGCAAATCTTATTGACAGCTTTCAAGAAAAGATTCTCTCCCCGGGGCCACTCTTGTTGAAGCAATACTATGACGTGTCCCAATGCCATGTCATCTCTGTTGTCGGTGAAAGCTCTAAGCTGCAAGACAAGAATTTATGCAAGACACAGAAAGAAAAGGAAGTCACCGGGTAATCTAAAAAACACCAAATATCACCACCTAAAAAAACACTATACATACAAATGTGTAATGAAGGTCATTAGAGTAAGAGAACAAAACAGGAAAGTGCTGGCAAACATCACAACTGCCTTCTAAGCAGAGTGGATCGTAATCAAAGGTGGCTCAGGCTCCCTCTGTGCTGTGAACAGGTTGCCCGCAGTGTGTTTGGATGGGAGTTGGACGTGCATGAGTAGGCCTGAAGTTTCTGAATTTGGGAATCAGAGCTGGAGAAAATTGAGTTGTCCTGTGTAACAGAGAAAAAAAGGTAGAGATTTCTTTTAAGAGGACTGTTGGGGGTGGAAGGTGGGCAAGAAGCCACCCAGGAAAGAAGGGTTTGAGGAAAACATGGGACTGGGGAGAAAGGAAGGCAATGAGCCACAAGGAAAGAAGCTGGAGTGTGAACTAGAGAATGGCCAAAGGACATTTTGTGTTAAATGGCAGGTACGCGTAAAATCACATTTTAAATTGTTTCTGTTGCCCCAAGGGATTCGGATGATGAGTCAAGTTTGGGAATTACTGCACTAAAGTGGAGACCCAATGTTGTTACTCTCTTGTGCATAAACTTTGAAACGATCAAGCTTCTCTATTCTAAGGGTCTGTTCTACTTGTAGCCACGGGCCTTGCTGTTCTTTCAAGAGTCCTTCAGGCCAGGCGCGGTGGCTCACGCCTGTAATCCTAGCACTCTGAGAGGCCGAGGCGGGTGGATCATTTGAACTCAGGAGTTTTGAGACCAGCCTGAGCAAGAGCGAGACCCCGTCTCTACTAAAACATAGAAAGAAATTAGCTGGACAACTAAAAATATATAAAAAATTAACTGGGCATGGTGGCGCATGCCTGTAGTCCCAGCTACTCGGGAGGCTGAGGCAGTAGGATTGCTTGAGCCCAGGAGTTTGAGGTTGCTGTGAGCTAGGCTAACGCCACGGCACTCTAGCCCGGGCAACAGAGCGAGACTCTGATGCAAAAAAAAAAAAAGAGTCCTTCAACTTTCCTAAAACTGTTGGGCCTTTACTAGTTTTGATCCCAAATGCCTAAAATGCGTTATAACAAACTCACCACGCCTCTATGAACCCAACTTCTGTAGCTGATATAGTCTGGCTTTCATATTAATTCATAAAATATTTACCCAACCCTTTAACAGGCAAAATTACTTTCTACATATATTTTTTGTCCCATTATTATATGTAAACTTCTCAAGGACTGGGAGAATTTCCTTCTCTTCTTGGCCTAGTGAAGTTATTATCTAATAAACATTTGTTAATTCCTACCCCATGTGCTTTTCCCACTAGGCCAACCGGCCCTTTAGAAGTACTAAACTATCAATCCTTAATGAGGATCAAGTCATTTCAGGTCATCAGAATCATATTTCGTATTAAATTTTTTTCAGGCTAATCAACTTTAAGCTTACCTTAAAACAGGCTAACATTAAATGCAGGCAGTATGGCATGATAGCCTTGCTGGTACAAGGCAGGAGCTTCAGATCCGAACCTAACATAAGTCCACAATGTTATGTTATTGTTAATGTATGTTATTATCAAAGAAAAAGTAACAGCCACATGATTTCAATTATAGTCAAACATGATTATACTTTGTGATGGTGAAATTGGTTTATGATGGCCTCTAGATTTCATTTATCAACCTTCTTTCCTAAACTTGCTTAAATATTTGTTACTATAAAACATTTCAAATATACAGAAAATTATACAGAAAGAATATTACAAACACTGGTGTGTTCACCACTGAGCTTCATAAAATATTAACATTTTGCTTTAATTTTTTTTAAATTTTAATATAAATTATCACAAAATCAGTTGAAGGTTCTTGTGTATCCTTCTCTGATCCCATTTTCTTCCTCCCTATACAAAGGTAGCCATAATTCTGAATGAGGTAGTTGCCGTTCCTTTGTGTATTATGTACTTTTACCATGTAAGTTGGTATTTATAAACACAGAGGAATGTTTTACATATTTCAGTCTACTATATATTAATAAATGATGTCATATTGTATGTATCCTTCTGCAAATTGCTTTTTTATTATTCATGTTCAGATTGGATACTAATACAGTATTCTGTCATTTACATATACTATGATTTATCCATTCTCTTTATGATGGATAATGACATTTCCAATTTTTCATTGTTACAAATAATACTGAAATAAACATTCTGATATATATATTCTTGTACACGTGTGGAAAAAACTTTAAGCAATGGTATTCACATCGGGGTTCTAATCTTTTCCTTTATAGTCTGTGCTCCTTATATCCTAAATCCTTCTCTACCCGGAGGCACGAAGTAGCAAGAAATAAATATATTTGTTACATGAGGATCCTGTACACACATACTTATATGTGTTTATGTAGCTAAAACAAAAGGTTCATAAAATAATATTTACCCTTTCTACCTAAGATGCTATCATTTTAAAAACATTATATTCTATCTCATCAAAAAATAAAATTTCTAGTTGAAACGCATGACCTAGAGGATGAAGACTCACATTTTGAAAAACACCAATCTAAGGTATACACCTAAGAGATGAGGTATATAATTAGGTAATGATATGTTCAACTTGGTAATGCTAAATTGGTTCCAACATGGTTGTACGAATTTATACACCTTCCAGAAGCACATGGGCAATGTGTTTATTCACATCCTGATCTATCGCCACTCGTTCATTTTTGCATTCTGATGTGTGTGAAATGATAACTTACTGTTCTAATCTGAATTTCCCATATTGCTAATAGGTTGAGAATCTTTTCAAATAGTTTTGGCCACTTGGATTTCTGCTTCTGTGAATCTGATGTTCTTACCTTTTGCCTATTTTTCTACAGGGAGGTCGTTGGTTGTTTCTTATTGGATACTAAGTTCTTGTTGATTTCATGTGCTAGACAGTTTCCTGGCAGTCTACGGCTTTTCAATTTGATCATAGTACCTTTTGTTGCTATTTTAGTTTTAATGGGATCAAATTTGCTAATCTTCCCCATTATGCTGTGTACTGTTTGTAGCCTAAGTCCTTCTCTACCTAGTAGGCACAAAGGTTTTCTTCTATATTTTCTTCTAAAAGTTTAAAAGTTTTAGCTTTCACATTTAAATCTTAAAATTTAAAGGATTTTTGTGTAGTGTGAAGGAGGGATCTCATTTTTTTGTTGTCATGTTTTACATTTGGATAATCAATTGTCCCAATACCACTTCTGGATAAATTCTTTCTTCCCTGATGAATTGTAACGTCACATGTTTTTCAGTTTTCTGTTCTGTTTCATTGGTCAAACCCTCTGTCAACACTACATTATCTTAATTACTAAAGCTTTAAAATAAGCCTTGACGTCAGCTATGTCTCGTCTTACCTACCTAATCTCTTTCTGTACCACAGAGATACTTAATTTTTGAAGGCATTTAGGCTAGATCTATTTTTTTTAACCTTTTGTTATGAAAAACTTGAAACATATACAAAGTAATTTGCTCCAGCACCATTTGTTGAAAAGGCTTTCCTTTCCCCATTGAATTACTTTGGGGCTTTCACTGAAAATCATTTGACCATATCTATGCTGGTCTACTTTGGGATTCTCCATTCTTATGCCAATATTTTGCCAACACTATCAGGTTATGTAAGTCACCTAATTTTGTTTGCCTTTTTCAAAACTGTTTTGACTATTCTAGATTGTATTTCCATATACATTTTAGAATCATGTTAACAATTTCTACCAAAAAAATGTCTACTGTGATTTTGGTTGGAATTGCACTGAATCTATAGATACATTTGGGGAAAATTGGCACCTTAGTAATATTGAATCTTCTGATCTATAAATGTGATCTATCCATTTTCAAAAATAGTCTTTAATTTCGCTCAGAAATGTTTTGTAATATTCAATGTGGAGGTTTTGCACATCTTTCATTAAATTTACCCAAGTATTTTATGTTTTCTTGATGTTATAAACAATATCTGAAAATCTGTATTTTCCAATTGCTTATTGCTAGCATATACGAATTGAATTGACTTTTTGTACACTAAAATGTCTTGGAAAATTTTATTAGTTTTAGTAGCTTTCTGGAGATTCCTTAGACTTTTCTATGTAGACTTTTCTATATGTGACTGTGAATAAAGGTAGTCATATCTGTCAATAGTCTTTTAAATCTTTATGCCTTTATTCACTTTTTTTGCCTACTGTAGTGGCTAGAATCTCCAGTATGTTGGGACAGAAATTGCGAGACCACACATCCTTGCGTTGTTCCTGATCTTAGTAGGAGAAAGCATTCAATATTTCATAGTTAGGTATGATGTTTGCTAAGACTTTTTTAAAATCATGAATAGGTATTGAATTCTGCCTGCATCTATTAAGACAATCATGATTTTTCTCCTTTAATCTGCTAATGTGAATTCCACTAATTTTCGTATATTCAAACACCTTTGTGTTCCTGGTATACTTGGTCTTCTATATTGCTGTATTCAATTTGCTAATATTTTGTTACGGATTTGACATCTATGTTCATGACAGATACTGGCCTTTAAAGTTATTCCCTTGTAATGCTCATTTGGTTTTGCTATACGGGTTGTGGTGCTGTTTCTTCCTAAATTCTTGGTAGAATTCACCAGTGAATTCATTTGGATCTGGAGTTTACTCTGTGGGAATGTTTTTGGTAACAAATTTAATTTGATAGCTAAAGGAACATTCAGATTTTCTATTTCATTTTTGTGTCAATTTTTGGCAAGTTGTGTTTTTCAGAGAACTTTTCCTTTTTATCTAAATTATTGAATTTATTGGCATAAAGTTATTCTCTTATTGTTCTTTTGATTTCAGTAGGATCTACAGTGACATTCCCTTTTTCATTCCTGATACTGATAATTTGTGTTCACTTTCTTGATCAATCTTGTTAGGGAGTTTATCCATTTTATAGATTTTTTTCAAAAAACTTCTGGCTTTATTAATATTCTGTATTTTATTTTCTATTTCATTGATTTCTGCTCTTAGCATTATTATTTCCTGTCTTCAACTCTCTTCAGGTTTAATTTACTTATCTTTCTTTAACTTTTAAAGTGGAAACTTAGATAAGTTATAAATTTAGTTTTTCAAGGAATGTGAAACTTGAGGTGAAGCTCAAAATGGTCTAAGAGGGATATGCTAAGAGATACTTCCTAATTAATCACCTACAGGATTTCCTAGAGTTGGTAAAGATATGTATGAAAAAGAGTTCAATGATATTCTTCAAACAGAATAAACACAGGAAGAGTCAGGAAGAGAAGAGAGCTTTGGAAGAAAGACATTTACAGCTGCTTCTGAAATCAGAGCCAAGGAAACACCTGGAAAGGCATTAACTTTTTTATACAATTTATCAAGTCCTACAGATCACAACAGTATTATCTCATTAGGAACTGGAAAATATTTTTCAGCTTTGGGTCCTAAAGCTATTTTTACAAAATAATAATAAAACCTATCACTGTACCTTTTCTAAATTTGGGCTTTCCTTTTGAGGGTTCTTCCTGTGCTTTGCCTCCATCCTGAATTGGGAGTACCATGTAGCACATCAAATCAAGGACTTTTTCACATGTCATCTAAAGAAGAAAAGACCAAAAGGAACTAACTTGAAGCTTTTTGAACTGAAACATATAGAGAGATGAGAAGAAATCTGAGTTTGTGTTAAATTATGGCCTTGAATTTATACAGTACCTGCATATATAAAAATATGCTTATAATTTTAACGTAATTCAAACATTTATTTATTGTGCCCTGCAAACCACTGTGGTAGGTGCCATGAGAGATTCAAAGTTAAAAAATCATGATCCCCACCCTGTAGTAGGAGGGGCTCAAAATCTCCTGGGGGGAAACAGACCCATTTCTAAAAATCTGTTCCTGCAGCACCCTCTCAGGTGTCATCGTCACTTAAATCGAGAATCTGAGGTTCAGGTAAACTAAAGGTAAATCCTCCATATGCCATTTAGTAATGGCCTTGTCTTTCCAAGCACAACAGAACTGATTACACTAAAACAAAAACAAAAACAAAACCCCCCAACTAAATGGAGAAATAAACAGGAATTTTGAAAAGTACAGAAGCCTAATTTCAGAAAAGATAAAATTAAAATCACTGTGATTTCTACCCTCAGATTAATAAATCTAAGCAAAAGGATCAAATTCAAGCAAACGTGCACTGAATTAAAAAGGCACTCTAGGAAACAGAGAAAGCCCAGGTGGGCTCGTGCACCTTTGGCCCGTGCAGGTGCACAGTACTCACTCTGTACTCCCCCAGGGCGAAGTGGCACGTCGCCAGCTGGATGAGTGCCCTCTGATGCTCCAAGGTCCCCTGTCCCGAGATCTGTGGCTGAGAAAGGGATCCCTGAAGAGCTGCTAAATGATGCAGGCTGGCTATCGCCTTTTTGTACTGACCCTTGGAAAGACATAATAGCAAGGAGGGACAAAACATTGCCATCAAAAAAAAAAAACAAAAAAACCCAAAAACCCTCCAGAATTAATTAAGCAACTAGAAAGTAACTACAAATAAGGTGCCTTTGCATGATTATCTGAGGAGGAAAAAGAAAACTTGGCAACAGAATCAAATCAACTTACAGTAGATGGAAGTTCTTTATGGAGGTTCTCTAAAAGTACAAAGTTTTTCTTTCTGGTCTTAAGTCTTAAGACTAACTAAAATAACAGAAGCCCTTTGGCAAAGTACATTTTGGATATACCATTTTTTAAGAAATATTTCACTACTAACATCACTTCTTTGTGAAGGATGGAAGCAGCAACCTGTTCATTTCAACAACATCTATTAGTGGATTATCTACTCTCTCCATTCTAGGCCTAAGTAGCTGGAGAACAGCACAAGACAGGAGAGAGGAGGGGTGAG